CTGTACAGTCTCGTCGTGTCTGAGGTAGCGGCTTCTCACAGGTTGGTATCTGAAATACAACGTCAAGAAATCAGTGAACGAACCTTTGTGATACAAATGACTGAATTTAATGGACGAACCTGTGGTGATGGAAAAGTTACATAGGCATATAATGGGCCCAGGAGCTAGGTCTCAACGTGCAATTAAACTAAGTTATAATGGTGATGGAAAAGTTGCAGAGGCATATAATGGGCCCAGGAGATAAGCCTCAACGTGCAATTAAACTAAGTTGTAATGGTGACGGAAAAGTTGCATAGGCATATAATGGGCCTAGGAGCTAGGCCTTAACGTGCAATTAAACTAAGTTATAATGGTGATGGAAAAGCTGGATAGGCATATAATGGGCCTCAACGTACCTTTAATTAAGTTATAATGTCTGGTGCTTGGCTGGAATTGTGAGTAAATAATTCAGGCCAAACTACATAGATGAATTATTTAAATAAAATTATTCAAGGCAAAGCATGTGAGTATTTATTTACGTAAAATTATTTGCTGAAATTAAGTAAATTTAAATAAATCAGCTCAATAATCAAGGGGAATTATTTTTTTCAACATTTCAAGACAAGTTTGTGAAAGAATAATTTCTGAAGTCTAGTAAATAATTCCCATGAAAATTAAATATATATATATATATATATATATATATATATATATATATATATATATATATATATATATATATATATATATATATATATATATATATATATATATATATATATATATAATATATATATATATATATATATATATATATATATATATATATATATATATATATATATATATATATATATATATATATATTATATATATTTATATATATATGTATATATAACTTTCGTGGGTATATACAGAGAAAGACTGCGGTCAGCAGGATTCTAAGCCACTGCAGGAAGACTGGCAGTAGTATTATGTAGCAAGAAGAACCATTAAAGAATGTTATGTAAGAATATGACGAACATGTATAATACATCACAAGAGAGCGAGAATGAATCAATTGACGTCGATCTCTCTGTCTCTGGTACACACGTGTTCCGTACAAGTGTTCCGTACAAGAGTTCCGTGCGAGTGTTTCGTACACGTGTTTCGTACAAGTGTTCTGTACAAGTGATCAAGAAAACACATACATCGTAGAGGCAACTTTTGTTAGAATCAAGTTTCGCTCTGAGTAGAACTTTATCAAAAAATGATAAATTTCTACAGAGAGCGAAACATTGTCCTAACAACAGCCGGCTCATCGACGTTTCTCTCTTCACGTTTGTCAGGAGTGCGCTATCTGGTTCCAGTCTGTTGGAGTTCTTGGCACAGTGTTGCTATCAGCCAGCACACAACAGACTTACGGTGAGGAATGCAGACAATATTGTGAAGAGAAAAAATACAAAGACAAGCTTTTATTGTCGACATCGCCTTGCCCGGGACGAGCTTTTTCATGTTAAATGAGAGGAACACTAGAATGACAGCGTATACATCACGACATTGCCGTGAAGAGAAAGACAGTGGAACTGGATATGCTGGACGAGAGGTAACAGGGACTCTTATGTTGATGTTGCAGGATTGCAAAGCACTTTGTTTATTGAACACTTTCAACAGTTGATGTTATCAGCTTGCTTTCATTTCCATCTCGCTGCTACCATGGCTAATAACATGGCAAACGAAACAAGTGAAAAATGATTTTTCCCTCCCCGCGATTAGTTCCAGGTCATGGTTGTATTTTGCAATAAGTTTAGACCAAACGGGAAATATTTCCATCATTTATGACGAAAGAGATGCTGGGTTTTTAATTAGGAGAGAACTCCGTGAGAAGAATGGTGCACCTGGAGCAGAGAGACTCCAGCTTCCAGGAACACCAGCCTTACTGACTCGTTAAGGTAAACAGTGCCAGGAGGGCCACTCTGGAGGCTAAAGTGAGGAAAGAGGGCTTAGCCTTTTTTAGTATCATGGTGAATAGTGTGGCACATACCTTCGTGCACCTTTCAACCGACTCGACAAAGCCCGTTCCGGAAACGAGCAAATGATAACCCAATATTGCTGTATGCAGTTAATAAAAAAATAAAGATGTTGAAACTGGGTTGTTTGAATGTGTTTGGATGTAATATGAATGTTAAGAAAGAGCTAAGTGTTAGTATTACAAAGATATTAATAGAATCTTCCTAACATTTAGAGAAGCATAGTTAGAACAGGGCAAGAGGTGAAAGGAAGATTCTGAATATGAAGTAATACGGAATTGTATTAAGTGCAGCTGAGATAATAAGACCTAAAGAAATAGTGGTGATATAAACAGACACTTGTAGAAAGAAAGAAACGGGGTATAAATACGTATTTAAATTAAAGGAATGCTTAGTTTAGAATAAAAGTAAGACGTGAGAAGTGGGTTATGATAAGTGTGTATATGTATGGAAATGATAGGAGAGCAGAGACGACAGAGAAATTTCGAATAGGTGTTAAACGAATGTTCATGAAATTTTGAAGCATATTAGAAAATTCGTTTTATATTCAAAGTACACCATACAAAACCACTTTCCCGCCCTAGGCACGGCTGGTCATTGCTTGCCAGGAGGTGAACCATCGTAGTACGAGTTGGTTAACTAGGTGCTGGAGCTGTCTGACACTGCAGAGTGAGGCTACCTCAAGCCTAGAAATAGCCAAACCATCAGACCCTCACCTACCTCGGGATGGCTCGCGCCATACCAGATCCGTCTTTCCGTATGGATGTGTTATAGTTATAGCAATGAATGTTTTCATATTCACTCTCCAAACTCTAATATCGTTTATTTGGCCTCTGAACATGTATATATTGTATATAATAGTATAAACGATCGGGTGGTGGGAATATATGTTAAACCAAAACTTATCTTCCTGTGTAAACTGCATTCCCCATCTTCGATTGCCATTTGACTGCGCTATAAGTTGGTACATAACACGACGCGGTGATGCAGACCCACTCATGATAGGGAGACCTTTGGTGGTGTATATATTTCAGAGACTGATGTATGTGGTCGTTAAAGTCAGAGTACGAGGGAGGTACAGTAAAGTACATTAATGTCTTGGTCTGAGAAATGGCAGATGAAGTTTAATGTGGATAAGTGTAAGGTACTTGCCCTTGGTAATGAAAATAACCCTCGAAGCTATAATCTAGGTGAAGTAGAGCTTGGTCATACAGAATGCGAAAAAGACTTGGGAGTCATGGTAAGCAGAAATCTAAAGCCAAGACAGCAGTGCCTCAGTGTGCGCAACAAGGCCAACAGATTACTTGGATTTATCTCAAGAAGTATAAGTAACAGAAGTCCAAAAGTTATTTTACAGCTCTATACATCACTAGTGAGGCCTCATTTAGATTATGCTGCTCAGTTTTGGTCCCCTTACTACAGGATGGACATAGACTCATTAGAGAACATACAGAGAAGAATGACTAAAATGATTTACTGTGTAAGGAACCTCCCGTATGAAGATAGACTTAAAGCCTTAAATCTCCACTCTCTGGAGAGGCGTAGAATGAGGGGAGATATCATTGAAGTGTATAAGTGGATGACGGGCATAAACAAGGGAGACATTAATAAAGTACTGAGGGTGTCGAACCAGGTAAGAACCAGGAATAATGGATTTAAGTTGGATAAATTTAGATTTAGAAAGGACATAGGTAAGTACTGGTTTTCTAACAGAGTTGTAGATGCGTGGAACAGTCTTCCCAGTGGGGTGATAGAGGTTAGGACCTTGGGTAGCTTTAAGAAGAGACTGGACAAATATATGAGTGGGAGGGGCTGGGTTTGATTGGTGTCAAGGGGTACGGGAGTTATTTCTTGAGTAGCTTTAGGTAGATGTCGTTTTGATAAAGACCTGCCTCGTATGGGCCAGTAGGCCTTCTGCAGTGTTTCTACATTCTTATGTTCTTAAAATGGTGTCAGTGGATAAAAGAGAAGCACAGGTGAATGAATTAATGAAAAAAAAAAACATGGTTAGTGAGAGATGTGAGCAACTGTTGCAAGAAAAGCTAAGTGGAGCGACAGAAATTAATGAGGGGAATAAAGAGGAATGGTATCGATTTAAAAATGCAGTGCTCGAGTATGCAGGGGAAGTTTGTGGTTACAGAAGAGCGGGTGCAGGAGGGAAGAGGAAGCATTGCTAGACTGATAATTTAAAAATAGAACTATAAAGAAAAAAGCTACCATATAAAAGTTTTATAATGTAAAAGGGATACATTAAAGGCAGAGTATATGGAGAAGCGAGGTCAAGGGAAGGGTGAAGTGCGAAAGTAAAACAAATGAAAGAATGCGTAAATCACCGTAAAAATTTTGTGGAGAATTAAGTTTTTGAAGAGAAATAAATTAGGGAAGGAAGTCTATGGATCATGTAATCCTGTCAATAGTGCAAAGTGGAAAGTACACGTATTAGAAACAGAGATAAAATTCTGAGGAATTTTTAAATGTAGACGATTAAGGGTAGTAGTAGATGTCATGCGTGCTAAGAGACAAAGGGGGAGGAACTGGGCGAGTCCTACACGCTGAAAGGAACTGAGAATATAACAATGACATGATATATTTTCCTGAATGTACCGATGAAGGTAGAGACGTCACCTCACAAGTGACGCAAAAAAAAAAATAGTTCATTCTTACAACGAAAAAAAAAGACAAGAAAATAAAAGTTATATGAAAATAACTCTGTAGGATGTCTATCATCGGACTAATGGATAAGAGGACAAAATTGTAGAGGAGGAAGAAAAGTGAGGGAGAGGATGCGTGGATCAAAAGTGCCCCTTAAAACATATAAATTAGGCCTAACAGAAAAGACGGGGGAGCGCCCGGTTTCAATTACGTGTTGAAAACTGTCTTACGAGAGGGATCAGTGTGGCTGGTGTGTCAGGTGCATGAGATAAGTTATGCGTTTTTATTAGCTGTATAAGTTTTTTCAGTCTCTTATTATTATTGTAGTGTTGATATTTTTTGTTAAGTTTCATCACGTAATTCATAGAGAGAGAGAGAGAGAGAGAGAGAGAGAGAGAGAGAGAGAGAG